ACTAATGCCAGCAAAAGGAAACTGGTGAGTGGCAGCTAGGGATGGAGGCGTCATCTGGAGTGCCCCTTTGCTGACAGTATGGATGCCTGCCTGATAAAGACAGCGACATGACTTAAGCTTAAGATAATAATTAAAGAAACAAGAAACAGGGACTTACAGCAAAATGATGAATCACAAGTTTGACTTTTAGTTTTAGCTCTGTAGCTCTCTGTCAGCTTCTGTCAAAGCCTGCATCTTGCATTTCTGCCTTGCAAAACGTATTTGAAGTATTCTTACTGAAGTATTTACTAAGTGGGTGTTAGATCTGTTGCATGAGCTGAGCAGAAAGAGACTACAACAGCCGGGAAGCCAAAAGCTGAGATGAATTCTGACTTGGGATTTTGGTAGCTGTGAGACGTGAATGGGATCGGTACAACAGCTGGAAAGAAGACCCGAATGTTAAATACAATGGCTCTGTGTTGGTACTGTGGGCTCATCTTGGCTTTTATCACTGCCTATTTACGCCCAGACAGCTGCAGGTCAGCTCCGGCTTTATCAGTTGTTAGCAGAGCCAGACGGATACCGGAGGGGGGATCTACCTGTTTGGTTATGTCAACAACAGTGGTAGCCAGTCCTGCTTTGCTGGCTGTTGTGTTGTCCACGGCTGCTCAGCGCAGGCAGCGGCTGGGTGAGGGCAGGATCCTGCTTCTTCCTCGGCAGCATCAGCATTGCATTCGCAGTGCCCTGCAGGGAGCTGCAGCAGAAAACTGGTTCTGCACACAGCAACTTAATTTTGTAAGATTTAGCTTTCTTGCTGAACTGAAGTGGGCCACGTAACTGGCTAAAGAGCTGTCTGCTTGGTAGTTATAGAGTCTCATTTTGTTTGATTTGGAGTTCAGTTGCCAGTGCTGGTCATGTTGAAAGCCGCTCGCGGCCGCTGTGGTCTGGTTAGTGCTCCTGTCTCCCAAGCTGCTGCTTCTGTGCCTGTTCCCGTTCTGCATCAACTCACCCTTTCTCTTTTCAGGAGGGCTGGTACACGCGCAGGGCTTGGCCAGGATAGCTGTATCAGGGTTAATATTGGCTATCTCAACACAGGTGTCCATCCACCAAAAAACTGAAATTTTTTTTTCACCAAAATTTAAAAAAAACAACAAACAACTTGATGGAAAGATAAGAATTTTCATGGGAGAAAAATTGAAAGCAGTATTGCACCCTCATAAACAAAACAAACCAAAACCCCAGCTTCTCATAAACATTTCTCACTGGCTTAAGTATTGGATATGCTGCTACCATGTTAGATATGTATTTTACCTCTGGCAAAAGTAAAGGAGACATCTTTGTTCTTGCAGTCACAGAATTCACCTGTGTAGTTTAACATCTATCATACAAGCAAGGGTGGCCTGCTCTTTGCAACTAAACAAAAGGATTATTACAGCCCTTTCCTAAAAGTTGTCTTTAGCTTTACTCTTCCCTTCTTTTAGGTCTTTCCATTTCTTTAAGTGACAGAGCCTGGCCGTTGTGAGTGCCTTATGTGCCTACTGAGGCATATAAATAATTTCCTTTGTTACCACAGTTCTGCTTTGAATGCAGTCCCTTGATACAGTGCCTTTATGTGGATTTGATCAAGTCTTTGCCTTTGATCTGCCTGTGATTATTAATTCTCTATTATAATTAATGGAGGCTTTGTCTTTCTCCTGCAGTCTCTATCAAAAGACCTCAGAGCCTTTTGTAAATGTTAAGCGATTAGTAACGCAGTAGCAGATTGGTGAGTTGTCTGTGTGGTTTGTCTCTAGCAAAGAGACAAAGAGTCTTAGTGTATCAGCATGCACTACATTTGGGGCTGGTTTGAAGTCTTTCAGCACAATAGTTTTCCTTGGAAAATACCAGTTTTTCTAAAACTTTTTTTCTTTTTTTTTTTTTTTAATGCTCCTAGAAGGCTTACAGTTTTGAAGATGCCTTTTCATGAAAGAGTTTTAGGTGTCAGGTGGAAATTCTGTGTGTGTTGGTCTGTGATAGGCAAACAGAGGAGCAGGTTAAGAGACAGACACTGCGGGGTGTTTACCCACCAGGGACCTGTTGCCTTCTGGTCTGACACCTCATGTGGGAAGTGAGAGCTCCAGCAGATACTTGATCTTTCATGCAAGGGTTGGCTGCTTCATCAGTGAGATTTGTTCCATGGCCACGTCTCACCTGAGGTGAGACCAGGTGTCACTGGTCTGAATGAGGTAGAAATGGTCTCAAATATCGACTTTCTATTTTGCACGTGATTATGTGAACTCTTAGGATATGAGTTGCAGGCAGGTGAGTCACTGTCTGAATAAACGCAGCTGGTTCTGGTTTTGTCTCTGCGAAGAGCAAGGAAACTTGGGAAGCAGTAAGATGTTGGGGGCAGGAAAAGAGCTTCCCGTGCAATTCGTGTTACATGGTCATTGCACATTTCCCTTCTGTGTGCTGCTCCAACCAAAGAGGATGACAAAGTTTCTTGAACAAATCATCTGTAATGGAGCCAAGGGTAACAAACCAGTTAGGGTTTAATCATGAGATGAAAGTACATTGTGTAAAAGTTGTGGTCAGGCAGTGCTGCGGAGCCAGCTCGGCACTGGTTGAATGTGAAAGAAATCACCGTACCCAGAAACCTGTGATTAGCATCACGACAGCTGCTGCTTTCTGCGGGGTGGGATTCAGCTTTGCAGTCAGAAATAACTAGAGCTAAAATTAAATAGCATTTACCATCTGGTTTTGTAAGAGGGAGAGGCTTGTGGTCAATTTTTTAATAACAAGGCAGTGAATGGTAAAGACTTAAGAGGTGAACTGTGCCGTTGTTGATAACTTCTAAAATTACACTAAAATTATTAAGAGTGAAGGTAGAAAGGGTCAAATTGTTGACATCACCTTGCTCTTTTTTATAAAAAGGAGAAAGCGGGGACGTTTCTTCTTTTTAAGCGTTCCTGCTGAAAATCTTCTTTTTAAGCTGTCCTGCTGACTTTAAAGGCCATTTTCTGACTTGTGAGAAATCCTGGACAGCTCTGGTGGCGCTTCCAAATTTCTGCAGCTAATTGCTCCTGTTCTGTGCAGTTTGCGTGTAATCCCGTGCAGCCAGACAGCCTGCCTGGCTTACAGATGTAGTGCTGTGTAGCATGTGTGTATGCGATCCCCTCATTATATTAATTTGTTTGAAAGGCCAGCACAGCTTCCAGTGTGACTAAATCATGTTGACTGCTGACACTGCCAGGAGATTGTTAAAACATCGGAGAGCTGCCAGGAACCCTTGCTGCTTTCCTGGGGATTGGTAGAGAAGTGACCTTTTACTCATGAATTTAAATTTCTGGTTTAGGGAAATACTGAGGGTTTTTGCTTAATGCCTTGGCCACTTGCCTGTCCCTTGTTACATTTGGATTTTGCTAGTGCTGGCTGGGGCGGTTCAGAGGACTAGTGCTGCCTGTTAATTGAGGGTCTGCTCAGAGCGATCTCCAGCCAGAAGGGAGGGAGGCTGTACCAGACATCTGGGAGAAATTGTGGCTAATTCTGCCAGATATCTTTTCAAGGCAATCATCTTTCTGTGCCTGTAGTTACACCTGACTTGTCCTGTGCAAGTTCACAGCCGAGTCATTTGGACCATCAGCAAGTTTTATGTTAAGGCTGTAACCATTTAGCAGAGTCTGTGTTGTGGGTCAAGGTGGGGGCAAACTCTTTTCGTGAGCAGCAGAGCATTCCCTGGATGCTGGGGCTGCTGGTACGAGTTCTGCTTGCACATCTGAGGGAGACCTCTGCTCTGGCCTGGCCTGCCAGTGGGAGCAAACAAACTGGCCCAGGGCAACAGATACAGGATGGTTTCTGCTGGGGACCAGCCTGGACTAACTGATGCTTTGGGACAACGGTGCTACTCCATCCTGGCCTCAATTTCCTACCCCTTTCCGTCTTCCCCTACAACAGTTTTCCTCTGACCATTCTATGAAACGAAATGATCAGGATTTAGAGAAAAATGTTTTACACAGATCTCATTTAGAGAGTGAAGAACTATGCCAATGCAACGGGGGAGGATATTTCCTGCGGGGAAGGGAAGGGGCAATCCTCTGAATGGGCAGGTGGAGAGCAGGCAAGAAGCAGTAATACCTCGTGTGGGACCTACCATGACTATAGCCTGTTGTGCCAAGCGCAGCTCTGCTCTACCAGTAAAATGCCCTCTTTCATGGATGGCTTGTGTGGTGTAAGGATCTGGTATAAATCTTACAGCAAAACCACTGTTGCTGATACAAAGTCGAGGAGGTTGGCATTTGCCAATCTGTTAATATCCATAATATTTTACAGTACCTTTGGGTTTGGGAAAGCATGGGCTGAAAGCCGTTCTTTGTTGTAAATTTTCACTAAAACACCTATCAGGTTCTTCTCAGAAATGTACCTGTTGCTCCATCCTGACTATTATTTTAAATGTCTCCACTTGCTCATTTGTGGGTTCTCTGTTTTTTTCCAGTGTTGTGGCTCAGTTTCCTTTTCCTGCTTCTGTTTCTTTGCTCAACAGTGATAAGTGAATACTGGGGGCAGCGAGCAAGGAAAAAGTCCTCAGCATTTGTTCAAGTGCAGCGTGAAAGGGTTGTGGAGTGCAGCAGTTGTTGGGAATACCCCTGGCAAATTTATGTTCCTGAGCGCAATTGCTTCTCTGCGTGCTGGCTGTCATTCTGTGAATCCGTGCGTTCCTGGGGCATGCTGTTGCAGTGGGGAACCAAACTTTGGCCAGAGGGTGGAGATGGCTTTCTCAGGAAGCTCCTTGCAGAGAAAATGCGACCTTTGAGGTGCCTGCTCTTAGGCGGCCAGCCGCAGGCCAAGGGAGGCGCTTGGCTATCCCCCCCCTCCCTTAGCAGCTGGGAGGCTATCTTCGTGCCTCCTCCTGTGTCACCATGCCTAAATTAACGTGGGTTTGGCAGTCCCGAGGTGGCAGCCCCTTATCCAGTTGCTGCCGCTCCTTCAGCATTCAGACGGCCCATGCGGTTCACGTGTGACCTCTTTGTGCTGCTGAGGCCAGGATGGCAGGGCTCCTCTGTAAGAGGCGCAAAAAAGGAGGTAGGAGACATTACGTTTGCAGCAAGGATCTCTTCCGAAGCTGTCTGCCTAGGACCTGGTGTAGGGGCTTTCTGTAAGCAGGGCTGTCCCTGGGCAGCAGGCGTTGGGAGGCTTTCTGCTGGCATAGCCGTGCTTTGCCAGTAGCAGTGAGAAAGGATGTTGTGGTCCTGTGGGATCTGACTCAGCCACACTGGGTCTGAAGGCAGGCGTAAGGGTTTTATGTGGCTCTTCATGTCGTGAGGGATGGGGGCTTAACAGAAAAATTCACATTAATGTTTTCTTTCAGTTTAGTAAATTGCTCAGAAACAAGGTGTTTTTGTTAGGAAGAGTGGAGATAATTTTTATATGAAAAAAAGAGCAAGTGTATTATCTTAATGGAACTTTTGGGAATAAAACTAGTTTAGCTGCATTTAAAAGTATTCTGTCTTGAAATGTATGCAGCATTTTGTATATAGTATACACTGAAGACAGTACCAGATATTCACTGCCCAGAGGAACTTGGCAGCTCTCTTTTGCATTTGCAGAACATTAGGAACAGTGGCGCCCTGACCTTATTGGACTCTTGGCATTCCTAGAATGACAGCAGTGCTATGATAATGAAAAGCGTTACATCTAGAAAGAAGGCTGGTACTTTCAAACAGCGAGTGGTTTAAGTGGAATTTGGGCATTTATAGTCCTAGCAGGGTTTTGAAAATTTTCACCTGTTATGTCCAGTTTCCACATGATTTTCTTGTGCCTCCTGGTGGCTGTATTCCTGTTGGCATCACAGTGTAGGAGCTGCTTGGGTGAGAAAGCTCTAGTTGGGTGTAATGCAGACAGGGCTGGGTAGGGCATGCCGAGAGCTGTTTTTCTGTTGCATGAGGCCTCTTAGCTCCCTGGCTTTTGTTTGGAGAGGTTTCCAAAAAATGGGAATGAATGCAGAAAATGGATAATAGGGAGTTTCTTTAATAACGACATTTATTCAGGAGGTTAAATCTCAGCCTGCAGACATTGCATTTTGTTTGCAGTTGAGGATGCTGTTCTGTTCCCTTCCCTTCCCTTTGCAGAGGGTACACAATACAGAAAGCAAGCCGTGCTTGCTGCTGGCATACCCCCTTCCCGCAGGCTCTGTGCGTGTTCGCTCTAACCAGCTGCTCTAACATGGTTCATAAGCCATAAGGTCTCAAAAATATGGGACTGGTGTTTGTTGCTTGCAGAACATAAGAACAGAATTTAATAATTGAGGATTTTAGTCATGCTCAGTATCATGCTGTGAACCAGAATTAGCTAACATCTTGGAACTGCAATTAAGAAATGTGGTAACATGTTTTAAGCGCCTTCTTTTCAAGTATCCGTGAGACAAGGAGTGGGGATTGTAGTGTGTTCTTCTTCCCTCTCCTTCTATGGGGCAGTCATTTGTTCTTCTTCCCTCTACTTCTCTGGGGTAGTAGGACCACTGTGTTTTCCCCTTTTGTCAAGCTGGAAAAAAGCAAGTGCTGATGCAGAATTTTGTAACGTTTGCAGACTGCATGCAAATGATTAGCCTGTGGTTTGATTTTCCAACTGGGAAGCAGAATAGTGACTATTCTTGAAGGAAGTGCTTGTTGGGTTACTGTGACTACTAGTTAACTGTCCCTCGTTTTCTCTGCCCAGAGAAGTTTGTCTTGCTGACCTTATTTATTTAGAAATCCTTGCTTTTCTCCTAAAAGAGTACGGGATTTGGACCTCTCCCAAGGAGGCTGCCGTACCACAAATGCTGCCACAAATGGTCTTAGCCCATGCTAGCTGAAGAGATGGGGCTATTACAGTGTCTTTGTATCCCCTATTTCAAATGTGTGTACTTCAATAGCTTGGCTTAAAATAAATAATCATAATATGATTTTAGGGGGAGATGTACCTTGGAAAGTGTAAAATTTTTCCAGTATTTCTAGCTCTTTTCTTACTGTAAAGCTCTGTGAAGATACTAAACAGTTGTTCAGTACTTTTTCTCAAGTTCAGTTCCTCCCATGTGGCAGGATGTAGGAAAGTAGTTTAATATCCAGTTTATTGATGAAGGGTACTTTACTGACTTTTCCAAATGAGAGCTGTAGGTTTGGGGTAGGAGCTTGAAATCACAAATTCCAGATTTGTGTTCACCAGCTTGTGCTACATTTATTTTTAGCCAGTGGCAGTGCTAGAATTAAATACATTTTCATCTTTATTTGGTAGGTCTCCCTGGGATTTTCTGAGGCTTTTAATAAGGCCAGTAGCAAGTTGCATTTCCTGCTGTTCTGCAGCTGGAAAAGGTGGTGATGAGTGGTGGTCATGCTATCAGAAAAGGAGTTTGTTTTTACAGTTTGCTGTCTGCTCTAGATCTGGGCTGTTCTGCAGACAAAGCTCACCCTCCTTCCTTCTGGAGAAGCAAGCACTCTGAGGTTGCTCTTACCACAGAATTGGGTTTCTTGCAAAATATTTTCACCCAATAACGTGGCGGCTCAGTTTAATAAAAACCTATAAAGAGATGTTACTTTGATTTTATTTTCCACTGTGGCTGCACTTCTTAATTCCATAAACTGTGGGCATATTTTGAAATGGATCTACCAGATGTTTTCTCTTATTATGAGTATCCACTTCAACTCCTACATATCTGCAAACTTTGCATTTATTACAATTTTTCTTTCTGTTTTTTCCCCTCTCTTCAGTGAGTGACCTCCAAGAAGAAGGTAAAAATGCTATCAATGCACCAATGAACCCAAGTGCCATGGACATCCATCCAGAAGACACACTGTTAGGTAAAGTATTCAAGCTACAGACCTTAACTAAGCAATTATTAATGAAGGTGGCCACTGTGACCCGCATATCCACTGCTTTACTTTTGAATGTAGATTGCTCAGTTGAAACTGAGAGAGCTGGGCATGAGAGTTGAGAACTGTTGCATGTCACATGGAGACTAGAAGTTCGAAGGGCTAAATTGGAATTAAAGAGCAGTGCCCGCTATGCAGATACACTTAAACTAGGTAGTTTATGGGAAAATTGACTTGTTCAATGAATTGGCAGAGAACTTGAGTTCTTCCGTGGTCACCCTGAAAGCAAATATAAAGTTAAGATTTGCAAATAATTAGATGGAAAATACTGCTGAATTTGTCTGCTTAAGAGTTACTTCAGTTCCATTAACCCACTGGTCAAGTGGATCTTGGTCTTTATTTGTCCTCACAGACATTCTTTGGTAAGGAAATGGTATCCTCTCTCTCTGTATATAGATGGGGAACTGAAGTGCAAAAGGACCAAACCACAGAAAGTCTGTAGCAGAAGTGTGTATTGTGGTTCCTATGGAACCCTTAGGCTGCCCTGTCTCAACGTACATACCACACTGTTGTTAACTAGTGGATGCCATGTTCATTCTTGGGTCACTGCTGCCAGTTTGCAAGTGGCAGTACAGCAAAATGGGACCTGATAATGAATGAACAGATAAGCATTTAGACTGCTGAAATTAGTAATTAAATGTGATTAGAAGTATGTAAAACAAGGAATGCTTTTTAGAAAGAAGGTAAATATTCAAATTCCTGTTTTCTCTGTTCCCTGCCTTCCCCGAGTCCCTACAAGACCAACAGCATAATTTAATAGCAAGAAGTGTTTAAAACTTGTTGGAATAAAATACTTTTTTCTTTTCTGACCATATGTCTCTTAATCTATGTAATTAGCTGAAGCAAGCTGTCATGGAGACAAGTAATTAACCGGAAAATTAAAAACAAAAAAGCGTTAGTCATTTAGCTTTTCTGATTAGATGAGTAGTGGGAAATGCAAAGTGCTGTTATTCTGAGACATGGACAAAGTGTCGATTGCTCTGTGTATATATATGGCTCAGGAGTGACTCCAGTGATTTCTTCTGGGTACCACTAAAGGTGTGTATGACTTTAGAAGATGCAGGACCACTCCTGAAGGCCAGTCATGCAAAGACATGACTACCGGTGACCCTTAAGCAAAGTTCTGTGGTGAATCGTATACCATTACGGGTCAAATCTTGTTCAGGGTTTCAGTTAGCAATAATTTGGGTGTGTAGTGGGTGTCACTTCCTTGTGACTAGACTGCCTGTTGTGGTTTGGGCTGGATGGATTGGCCGCTGAATGAACGACAGATGCTCTACTGACTGAGCTGAATCATCCCGGGGAGTAAAGAGGAAGTAAAGGAACAGGGGGGGAAAAGCAGCACAAGAGTTCCGTTTTTTTCCTAGGTTTGTAGAAATTTGTCAAGTATGTTCAGAGAGCAGGGTCTTATTTTTTTAAGTAAAGCTTAGGGGCCCTGAAAAATACTGAACCCAAATGTCTGGGTGAAGTCTAAGGTATCCCAGCTATATGGTAGAGTCTGTCTTGTGTCTAGGATGTGTGAGTGTCACATTTCCTATCTGACAGCGGCAAAGTCTAGCACTGCAATAGGAAGTCGCTGTAGGTTGGTTATTGTTGGAAAGGGTTCCTCTATGCAATGTGGCAATGGCCTGACCAGTGGTCATACTGGAACCCCTCCTTTATTGTCATGCTGGAAGAAATTGGGAAATCAGTAGGAAAATAGTGCTCTCTATGGTGTGTCTAGACTCAGCTAAAGGTAAATTCATGGGGTCTATAAATAATTATTTTAGCTGAATAGGTGTGGATCCCCTCATGTAGCTGTGACACTGTCACCCATCCTTGTATTCCAGTTGTGTAGTAGCCAGGGTTTGCTGTCCGCTTAAAGGAACAGATCTAACCTAGATCACATCTACCACTTCGTTACTAAAGGAGCTAAAATGAAGAGTGCAGGGAGAGGTCTTGAAAGCAAGCACCAGATTTTAAAGCATGAGACTTGCTCTAGCTGCTTCCTAAATACTAGTATCCATATCTATGGTAACATATAAACATGCACGTGATGCACGTGTCCGTATGTGCTGTTGTGAAGATAATTCTGCCAAAGGTTGTTTGGTTGTCAGCCTTACTGAGCTCAAGTTGATTCTGCTACCAACATTTCTATATCGAATCGTGCCTTCTAAAAATTATTTTTTAGTCCATGCTTCTTGTGGTTGTCCTGCTGATTATTGGAGAGCATTTCTCACATCTGTCCGCTCTACAGCAGCAGCAGAAATCTATTTTATGTTCTTCCCTCATGCACAAGTACAACTGATATAAATTGGGGAAATTTTCATTCTCCAGCTTAACCAGAGGTGAAGGAGTTCAGGCACTTGGGGCCACATGCATGACCAAGTTTCAGGGAACCAGAGAGTAGAGGCACAGACTGTCAGCCCAAGTCTCAGCAGTTGCACTGAGTGTAGTTGCCGTAAGCTTGCTACGCTCTTCAAGGTGTTGTAATTTGGGACAGGGGTTTTGAATAGAAATTTAATATAAATTGAGGAGATAGAGAAAAGTAGTTGACTGCACTTTTTGGCACGTTAATATTAACATGCCCCACAGGGTATAGAGGACAGCGATCTTCCTGTTGTATTCTTCAGGGTCTGAGTTGGGGAAGGTCAGTGGAAACAATCTTATTTTAGGGAAGTTAGGGCTGTGTTATCTTTCTGCACGTCTCTAAAAATGCCTGACACTTTGATCATCAGATATTCCCTTGCTAAGATGATGACTGGGCACTGTTATGTCTTGATCAGCTGACAGGCTACATCATGATTAGGAATTGTTGCAGTATTTCAGTGGTGTACATTTGAAGTGGATCTAACTAAAGTTTCCCATTTACTTGGACAGAGGAGAATGAGGAACGCACTATGATTGATCCTAACTCAAAAGAAGACCCCAAGTTCAAGGAGCTGATCAAGGTAGGAAATCACTATTTTGTCCTTCTTCAATTTAACTAGTAAGCTGGAGTCATTTACAAGCCGATTACCAAGAATACAGTTGAGGAATACATCTTGTTACTGAAGTGTATGGGTGAAAACTGAGGTCATCAACAAAGTAAAAGCAACAAGAGAAACAAGAAAAGGTTGAATCTCAGATTGCTTATGGCAGTTATGGAGTAAAATTCCATTGTCCATTTATATCCTTGTGATTGTCACAGCGAGGATCAGTGCTTAGCTTGAATCTACCTGCAGTCACTGCATGTAAATCTAGGTTCCTTCTGCCTGTGAAAACAGGGAAGGACCTTTGGAAAACATTAGTGAGATTTCAGGAGAGAAAAGAGTAGGACTGAAATGAGCAAGGGCATAGCGGGGGACAACAAGGGAGACCTTTGGTGTTATGGAAAGTTAGAACTGAGATTCTTTTTGCCCTATATTCTGTTGTTTTTTTTTTTAAAGAAGAAATGTCTTCAGTTTTCCTGTGTGCTAGGGCAGGAGCCAGATTGTCCTGAATCTGTATTGTCACTGGAGACACCTGCCCAAGGCGTTCATAATGGTGTTCCCAGCTGTGCTGATGTAAGGTGTGGCTTTCTGCCTCAGCAGTGTTCATGATGGAGGATTTGATCTTGAGGGATTAGTGTTTAGAACCTGCGGTGGCATTGAGGTTAACAGTGAAAGTTTAAGCAGGGAGCGAAGGGCTGGCAATTCTGAACAAATATGATCTCTTTCCAAAAAGCATTTGTGCTTGTGTTATACTTCCTGCTACACTTCCTCTTTATCATTTTGAATTTATTTTTTTTAATTATTTTTGTTAGAAACAACAATGCAGCTGTAGATCGGTGAGTTTGAAAACTTTGGGTAGTGTAGACCGTCTCTAGACAGGGGGTCGAGCACATTCCTTTCAGGAAAGCTTGTGCACCTGGCTGCACCCGTAGGCTTCACAGAATACCGCAGCAACCTGCTCACCTGGTACGTCTTTAAAACAAGCCCAGCGATCTGTTTTTAACACTGCAATAACATGTTTAGGATTACAAAACCACGTAAAACTGAGTTTAGCAAGGAGCTGTGCTCAGTTTTCTTTGTTATTCTAATTCAAATTAGAATTTAAATTAAGTGAATTCACACATTCTTTCTTTGTTAGTAGCTAAATCCATGAATTCTCTCAAAGTGTACAGTGCCACCACTCTTTCAAAATGTACTGTGATTGCTTTGGTAGTGGAGCAGTGATATTATCATGTATAATTCAGCTGAACCAGAGTTGTTGCAGTGAAGAAACCATATGCACTCTGTGATGCAGGAGATTTGATACTGGGAATCAGAATTGCTTTTAAATTGGGAATTTTGCTGTTGAATTTATTATGAGTTGGTGAGTCTTCCCTGGATGTCACAGTCTAGCAAGGTTATATTTTCCCGTTTTAAAACCTGAAAACCTTCAGGAGGAATGAGAATCGGGACTGGAGCAGCACTTGAGAATGTGTCTGAGTGCTTACAGGGCATTGCAGAATCAGGCTCTGGTACGCTACGCCAGTTTACACTTGCATGAAGAGAGAGTCATGTATTACCAATTGAACTGCAGCAGCTGGTGCAGGGAACAGCATGTAACTGGGGATTGTTTCCTTGGGATCATCCTCAAAGGAGAGATGTGTCCTATAGAGTGCCTACTTGAAAATTATGTAATTTAGGTAACTGCTAATCATTTCCATGCCTCTCAGCAGCTGAAAGTTTTTACAGAGGTTCAGCTAGAGAAATATTTAACACTATGTTGGTGTGAATCTGTAAGGCAGGGAGAGGCTTGAATTATGTTGGCAAAACCTATTCTATGCTACAGAGTTTGGATAATGCAAAAAAAATGAGCAATTTATTCCTTGTTTTCTGTTCTTCAGTGGTTAATGACATTTTCCAAGAGCCCCAGTGCTGGATGAGAATTAGGCATGCTAAGTGCTATACAGCAGCAGCCAGCAGAAAAGACTGCATGCCCCACAGAGCTTGAAATGAAAGATCTCAACAGACTAGCAAGGAGCAAGGAGTTGAATAGATGGAGGTTTTTGTAGTTCAAAGTGGTTCTCTCTCTTTTCCCCTCCAAGAGGAATGTGTCAATAGCAGCAACAGAGCCTCATGCTTTTTGAAATTTGGCAGTATGACTTAGTTTCATTGGTGCCAGCCCAAATCTCTTTCAACACCAGAGTCAGACATGCCAATGGTTTGCCATCATTGATTTTCAGTGTTTCTGTTCTGTCAGTTACATGCAGTTGGGTAAATGGATCTTAGTGCAAATAAGCAGCAGACATATCTGTTGCTGACACTGCTTTAATATCTCTTTGTCTCCACAAAATGTTGTTTTAATTTCTGTAAGCCTCATGCCCTAGGAATGATATGCATAGTGGGATTGATCAGTGCAAGCTTGTGTGAACGTTTGGAAATGATTTTGACAGAGCTGTTGTAACTCTGGAGGGACAGATTGTATAGCATTGTGGTAACACGGAGAGACCAACAGAAAAAAATCTCAACAAAAAGTCTCATTTCTCACTCTTATTAAAGCAAACATACAGTGAGTCCCCTTGTTGAAATCTGCTTAGTTGGGGATGCTAAAATACCTGCTTTAAATCCTCTTGGACATATGAAAATCTTCAGGAACTAGAATTGTGCCTCAAAGTGTTGTTTTTTATCATCATTGATGGTATTCTAAAAATAGTTGGCCACAATTTGTCAATAGGAATTGTTCAACTAAGTTCCCTCTGTGGCCAGTGGCCTTTTTTCCTCACTTCATTTGCTCTGTGTGTAACCAAACATAGATTGGTACATGGCTGAACAGACCTGAAGCTGAAAGTTCAGATCAGGGGAAGAGAGATGAATTATCGTTTTTTATATATATACGTATAAGTAATTCATTCACAAAATACTCTATTTCTGGTGTCTGAAATGTGTAAGCATCTTTTACTCATTGACCAATATTTGCCAAGTGACAAGGGCACAACTAACTTAAGGCAAATGTTTGAATTATAAGTTTGGGCTGTTTTGTGATTGGATACAGAGGTGTCCTGTGATATGTTGTTTCTTCTTGTATACTTCAGAGTCAGGTTTCTACTCTGTATGTTACCGTGAATCTGTTTAAAATTCACTTGCCATTAATATATAAAGTTCCCTTAGTTAGTCCATGTTACTGTTTGGAAGGGGTGTTTGGGGGTTCTTCTAGCTCTCTTTTGAATACTTAAAAAAAAAGGAGGGGAGAAGAGGGGCTGGTCTGTGTGCTTCCCTTGTTCATGTGTGTTTCTTTGTGTATTGGGTGTAAAGGTGGAAGGAATCTTTTTTTCCCCTTCTAGTTCAGATATGTCTGAAGGGTAAAAGTTTTAAAAGCTTCATTGCTGTTTGTCATTCTAAACATAATTAGAGTTAATAGGCTGTAGGAATTGAGTCAGAGGCTTTGAAAAGATATTTTAACATTTCACATAAGTGGCAGATTTCCCAGTGTTTTCTCATGTATTTTGGTAGGAAAAGTATGAAGAAGAGTTTCTACTAATTGAATCCAAAATTTTAGAGCAGCAGCTTGCAAGAATTGGGTCCTGTCTGAAGGTGCCTTGCCTTGACAAAAGACAGCAAGTCACAGTTGCAAGATGCTTTCCTTCCCTGCAAAGACTTCTGTTAGATCAGCTGATACTGCAACAACTTTTGACCTTTAAAGCTTCATCTAAACTTAATACAGATCCAGGCACTGCAGATCTAGATACTGGCTGAAACGAGTAAACATTCTTATTTGTAGTAAATCATTCACTGTCCTAGAAATTATCATCTTTTTTTCATGTCTAATTTTATGGCTTTTTTAAACTCACTGTGGTGAAAAGAAAACCAAAATGAAGCCACTGTCCTTTTGGTAAGGTTTCACGGGTGACCAAGTGAAACTGTGCTGCCTAAACGCTCTGTGGTCTGCTTTTGAAAACAAGAAGCCTTCTCTTTGTTTACAGGCTGCCAGTGCTTTGTGCTTCGTCAATAGTTTCCAGACCTGAATATGAAATTTTAATATCAATTTTCATGCTCAACGCTGAAGCCAGTTAAGCTTTCATACCTTTGATCTCTGCTTCCTAATTCTCCCAGAAGTCAGGGGGGAAAAGGTCATTGAAACCAGGGTTTTTCTTTGCTGGTTTTGGTGACTGGGCTTCCTGTTTTCCCATTGTGCCAGATGTGTTGATATATTTTGTCTTGTTTTTCATTTTGTTCATAGTGGTGACTGTGGGGTCCTTATGTCCTTGAACTCTGCAGATTAACTCTGAATGTGCCTCAGCCAGCCTGCAGAACAAAAATACTTCGCTGAGCTGTGAAGTTTGGTGTAAAAACCCATTTTGCATGAACTAAAAAAAAACAGACTTATTTTTCCTTCTAGATTTCTAGCACTCTTTTGTTTCAGCTGTCTGCCTCATGGCGAATTTTAGTTTTCAGCTCAATGTTTAGTAATGCAACATGGTTCATTTAACCAGACATGTGCGTGTGTCCTAAAAATGATACGATAAACCGAAGTGTCAGAAGTTAAAGCACCGCTGGAAAGTTTACAACTACAAGTGCATGTGTCTGAGCATTTGACGCTGTTTGGAGATGTTTTATATGAGTATGGATATGCATGAAAGGGTAGGCATGGTTTTGAAGACATGGGGATATTGTATTAAAGTATTAAAATCATGCTGCTACTCCCAAAGACCATAGAAAAGTAGCTTTTTATGAAGGTATGACAAGTTAAGTGACCTAACAAACATCTCCGTGTACCTGCACGCTGTTTTGTGAGTCTCCAGGTACTGAACAAGATGAGTCTTGGGTGTATTGAAGATCATCAGCCACGTGTGGGATCTTGTGGTGGCTTCACCAGCTGCTGTATGTAAGGAGAGGCATGGTGTTAGCGCTGACACTTCCTCCGTCCTGCAGTGTTTCTCCTACACCCATTATTTAATGCAGCCCAAGCTTAAAAGACAATATTGAGCTGAAGATGTATGAAGCACAGGCCCAGAAATGAAGGAATGGGTAGAGGAGTGTGACACATCAGATAGATCGACGTTAAGCATATTTCATGCACAGAAAAAGCTCTTTGTCTGCACCTTCTGTCTGCTTCCCAGAAGCACTCTGTGCCTGTATCAAACTGTTTAAATTTTTAGACTTTCAGGTTATTGAATATTTTCTGCTTCTGTTTGCATGAAGGAGCAACTACAAAGAACTGGAGAGCTGACTTTCTGTGAGCAGAGAGTCAGAAAGTATTTCTGCATGTTTGTCATTTCAGTAAGCAATATGATCCTTTATTTCCCTTGTAAAAGTTAAAAAAAAAAAATCTGTGCAGAAAGATTTTTCCAGGCTCCTAATTAAGACGCAATCAGGAAATCATGAGGTGGGACAGCAGATTTTTTTGGGGTTGTTTGTTTGTTTTTTAATTAAAACGCTTGCCAGTCTTCAAGAGCTGTGAAAAAAGAAACACTTGGATTTTTTTTCTTAAATATAAATTGCAAATTCGTTTCTTCTAGTGGAGCTGAAGTTGTAGTCTGAATACTAAAGAAGTTAGAATGTTCTTTGGGATATTTTTCTTTCATTCAGGTGATGAACTATTAAAATAATAAAATAACTATGGCTAGACCTTGTTTAACTTGTATCACTTTTATGTATTTTTTTTCCAAAAGTTTTTCAGTGCTAAATTTCTCCGAAACATTTAAGTAGCACATAGTGTAAGTATTTCCCTTTTTTAACACCCTGTACCCAAAGCCACTTTGTGATTCCTGCGTACCTACACTCTTGGAAATGCGATGTTGGCTCCTACATTAGCAGGTACTTCTAGACTTTTATTTGTGATTCCTTGGCATTTTCTAGATTCTGACTTCAATACCATTCAGCACAGGAAAGGCAAAATAAGATGTTTATTAATGGTTTCAAATAGTTTAGCATCCCGAGTCTTCCTTTAACAAAGCTTCTGAGGACTTCTGGAAATCTGGCCTCTTCCTATAGGGACTGTAAAGGGATCTGATTATCAAATTATAATTTCAGCTGAACTTCAGATAATTTTTGAAAGGCTGCTCTGTAAATCTCATGGAATACCTAAATCTTCTATGACTTTGATTTCTTCAGTTGTTTTTCTGTTGATGTCTCTTTATGTCAAACTTGTATTGTTTTGGAATTGGGCAGTCACCTTATTGATAGGCTTCTAAAATCTCTTTCTATACGATCTGGGACAAGAAAGTATCTTGTTATTTAGGACTCACCTTTCTGTATCACTGGTGAACAGTTTTCGAGGTGAAAGATGGTATCCCTCTTCTCATTGTCTTCCAGCTGTGGTAATTCTTTGTCTGATGTGTCTCTCCAGTCCTTTACCATAAATGTCCTTCTATCCCCTGAAGAAGACTGGAGGAGACAAGAGTAGCTGATTGGAGGTTTCTCTCCAAATGTGATCATGGTTCCCCACCTGCAGAGCAGAGCTCTGCTAACTGTTTAATTTAGGCTGCATCTTCTTGCCTTTATCTTTTGCTGGCTGTGATCTCTGACGAGCTAATTTTACTTGGGGTTTTCAAAGGAAATCCAAAGGCTTGATGCCCTATGCCAGGTGATAGCTGACATGTTACGATTTTTTTTAAAACCCTAGCTTTAATTCTAGAGGATGAGGACTGGGCAGGGAGAGTAGACCTGATCCAGAGGCTGCTGAAGAGGCATCCTGAGAACTGCTAGAGGGTGAAATGCAGGAAGTGCAATTGTCCTGACATTTTTCTCTGCCCATATGCGATATCTATATCGGGCTGCGTGACATAGAAGCAAGGTGGTTTCCAGGGCACGTTGAAGCATGTGTTAGGAGACAGGCTTCCCAGTGTTGCTGCTGTGACCACAACCAAAGTGAGAGGATGACTGTACCTGCCAGGGCACGGTGCTGCAATACCCCTTTCCATCCAGAACCCCAAGTGCCAGCAGGCTGGGCTGCTCAAGCAGAAGTGCGATTGTCGGTTCATTGGCAATACAAGCCATGAAGCTGTTGCAGGAGGGGACCATGAGGCAGGGGAAGGAGGGGGAGAAACTGCATGATCCTCCTGCCCAAGAAATGGCATTAAGTGGATGTGAGAGTGTGAAACAACTTGGTGGCATGTGTTGGAGTAGTGGTGGCAGCTGTAACTGCACAGCGGAGGCCATCTGATAGAGGGAATGGCCCAAGAGATAGATAAGGTTCCTGCCAGGTCACAGGGGAGCAGTGGGGCAATAATAGTGGTGCAGAGCGCATCCTTGTATATCCACATCTGCCTTCAAACACCACCTGCACTTTTCCTTTACCTGTTCTAGCGAAACCACCTTTGATACAAGTTGCTGATATTGATTAGTGAATAACTTATCAGAAACACTTTATTTTGAAAGAAAGCTCTTTAGAGGAGTAATTTTTATTATTGAGATTTTTCATCCCTTTGGTCAGCTTAGAGGGCAAAAGTGATTTACATATGTCAGCATTGATGCTGATCCTTGCTTTCCATGAATTGACTGGTTGCCATATCACCCAGCTAAAATTCACCACTTACACTATTTTTAGAGCTGAGTTTCAGCCCTGCACATTTTCAGCATGCTTTGGAAGTACTAAAGAGATAGATCAGAGGTACATGAAGCACTAGTTTGGATTGTAAACTTCTCTGTGGACACTAAGCCTAGCAAAACTTACTTGAGGTCGGTAGATTCGATGAACCTCAGTAGCCAGGCTGAATTACATAAATGTCCTTGTGACTAACATATTCAAATGCTTGTATTTCCTAGGACTGCTGAGGTGGGTGTTTTCCATTGCAAGCCTGTCTATATTTTGTTTATTTGCTTTTGTTACAGAATCTGTTGTATACTAAAACCCCCAAACTTTCTTAGCCATCATGACTGTTGAGAAGAGGTAGAAGTATGGGATGTAATCAGAAAGTGAATTTAAAGAATCCATAATTCTATATGAAGCAAATTAAAAGCTGCAGAACTTTTAAATGAGGCTCATGCTTTAGGTGTCTCTAGTTAATGGATTTTGCATGTCTATGACTGGCAGTATTCTTCTCCTCTTATAGAATCAAGGATTTAACAGGATTTAACATTGTGTCTCTTCCCATATAACTATATTATTTTTGTGAAAGTTATTTAATTTTCCAGATAATAAATTGGAGGAAAGTACTACTGCCAACTTCAAACGGTCAAGGCTGTTCTTCCTGTAACTGTTTGGAAATTATTATCTTTGGCACCTGGAAAACTTAACTCAGTTCCTTTTCTTTTTGAAGGTTCTTTATGTTCATTCCTGTTTTGCAGGTGATGGAGTGATTTTCATAGTTACAGTGGTCAGCATATGGGGACTATTATATATGTTGTAGAATGGTCATCAGGTCCATTTGACCAAAATTTTAATTCCAGACTTCTGTGCTCTGCAATAGCTTAAGACAAAATGCTATCCTGTTGCTAATGGCAGGGATCTAGTGAGTGGGTCTGCTTAGCTCCTGTTAGTAGGCCTGTTAACTCTTTC